GTAACACCAAGGATTTTAAGTGTATCATTAGCGTTCACTTCATTGTTATCTACAATGAAGTTATAGCGATATGGTACTTGAAGCGGTTCCCGCTTCAGAAGAAGTATACGCTTCAACAGCAGAATTGTGTTCGGTTAATTTTCTTAATCTCCGTTGCTATGGAACTGTTGTTATTCGTCTCTTTGAAACTGACTTGCCTGTACATACACGTTTGCCCATGATCGAAGTTTAATGAAAGGAAGTCGTTACCGTGACTAGCGTATGTTATTCGTGCAAGACTTTGAAAACTTCTAACATGAACGATATCATCATTTTGGTGAAAAAGATAAATTCACGCCTTACGGTGACTATAGACTTTAACGGATCAATGCTGGTTAAAGAAGTCATTATCCACGGGAAAGGCCTCTCTAAGTTTAGGAAATGGGCTAAGACAAAGTTGTATGATCGGGATCGGGAATGGCTGGTATAAACCGTCGGGATTACGGGATTGAGAGAAAATTTTAGTCGGGATCGAGGGATTAAAGAACCCTATTGGAGACTCTCATTTTTAGGTTGACGGTAAAATCATAAGCGATGGAAATCCGAAGGCGGAACTCCTGAGCAATCACTCATCGAACGCATATATTCTCATGAAGACCTCATTGATATCCCGGTTGTTGGTACCCTTACTGTTACCGTTCCTGGCGTCATTTAGCAACTAGAATTGTTAAAGCCACTCAAAGCATCTGGTCCAGACGGGATACCTCCATGGTTCCTGAAGGAATATGCAAAGGAAATTGACCTTATGCTAGCGGCTATCTATCAAACCTTTATCTATTGTCCTAGCTAAATGGAAATATGCAAATGTATGCGGCGTCCACAAGAGTGGAGATAAATTATACCCTGCAAATTATAGACCGATCTCGTTAACATGCTTAGCGTCCAAAATTCTTAAACATATAGTCCATAGTCATGTAATGAAGCATTTGGAGTACTACGCGATTGTTACCGATGCGCAGCATGGCTTCAGAGCAAAACGATTTACGGTAACACAATTAATTTTGACGATTCACTACATGGCCAAGTCTAATCAAGATGATAAGTCAGTCCATGCTGCTGTGCTATATTTGAGCAACGCTTTTGACAAGGTCCCCCATGATACGTCTCTTAAGAAAGTTACGGCATTATGGTATTTGTTGCCCTCTGCTTGACTGGTTTGCGTCTTTCCTCACGAACCGCACTCAATCAGTCATCTGTGATGGCAAAATTTTCTAACCTTATTTAGTTCCACATCAATACCTGAAGATTTGGTATCTGGCAATCCTCTATTCTCAGATAACTTGTAAAGCTTGGATTGAATTTTATGAATCCCCCCTTAAGTTTTATATTTGCCAATTGAAACATTTACCCTCACTTAAATGCCAATTTAACTTAGTGGTGAGAAACCGCCTCCGAAATTTTGTTCTCTCTTACAGTCTTTTTTTCTCGAAAGAACTAAATGTTGTGGATATCCGTTCTGAAAATCCTTAACTAGAACGCCTGGTGACATACGGTTACCAGCGTGTTGCGCTCATCTTTCGGACAACACCTCAAATGACGACTGTCAAACCTCTATCAATGTCTAAAGTTTCAAATCTTACAGGTGGACGGTTTGGGGTGGGATGATTGCAATAAAACGTAATGAAGCAGATTTAACCATGTCATAGATTTTCTTTGAATTTCATCGAGAAGTCTTCAGTTGCAAATCAGAAACAAAGACGTTACACAGCCTTAATTGCACCATGAAATTAAAAATAATCTGTTTCGTGGTGACTATGACTTGCGCTGTTCTCGGAAAAGAAGGTACGATTTTCCTTTTATTTTCACTAGAAAAAAGGTTACAGCAAAAGCAAACTGAATTGGATTATATTGGATAAGTGAGCTGAAACTTTATTTCAAACCTTCATTATTTACAAAATCGTTGTTTCTAATCTGCTTCATATCACTAACAGTTATCGGATGCAGTTACTTGTCAAGTTCGAAGGGAAGTGTAGATAAAAGATGATATGATTTACAAGCTGTCGACATTTTGGCTCAAAGTGCTAAAATATACTATATTGATCCTTTGATTTAGGCATCTTTTTCTGCCAAAACCGAACAATATAAGAAGGTATTCGCTTACGGTAACTGCGAAATTGTTTTTTACCTTCATTTTGCTAATCAACCCACGGCTCTTCTGCTCCACTGGGGAACTCTGTCTGTTTCTAAATTTATTTCTCCCTTTATCTAAGCGTGAGATGTATTGTTGGAAAACTAGCCTTACACCTATAAGTGGATAATGTTTAGAATGCTCTCCTGTTCTCAAACTGCAAACTAACACCTCATTCACACCAGCAGATATATTTAATTATCTAAGGTTTAACCGAATGAAAATCAGTGAAAGAAAACTAAAACTGAATCTTCCATAGTATTCAAATAATCACTAACGTTTCTTTCAGTGCTAAATTTGAAGTCGACAAATATCGTTTCAAACAGCCTTTATGTTGACGGTAAATTTAAACAGTGTTTAGGTATGTTGATCAAGGAAAAAAAAAACATCGAACACCAAATCGATCAAGAAATGTTTCTTCTTATACTTTAGTGTTGAATTTTCTTTCGTTATCTCCACCTTAGATAACTTGAACCTTAAGCGGAGGGCACAAATTACTCTATACTTCATTCTCTCTTCACGATAAAAATACCGTGGGACTTTCTCTTAGAATTATATCACTGCGGAAGAGCTTACCTGTCTACATGAGCAAAGAACAAAGGGTGGAAAACTTGCCTGTAGGTATGCTGATCTAGAAAAAAAACCACCATCGAACACCAAGTCACTCAAGAACAGTTTCTTCTTATATTTTCGGGTTGAATTGTCTTTCTTTATCTCGACTTAAGATATATTGAGCCTCAAGCGGAGGGCATAAATTACTCTATAGTTCACTCTCTCTTGAATATATAGACACCGTGGGACTTTCTCTTAGAACTATATCACTGCGGAAGAGGTTACCTGTCTAAATGACACCCTCTTTGGGGTTACCCGCGATTTTACCCCATTTAGGAACACAGGAGTGTTTGAATCCTGGTGCCAAATTCACTTTATCATTTATTACTTTTTGTTCTTATAATAGAACAATGGAATAAACGCCTTCATGCTTTACTCTTGGAAAATCCGACAGCGCGTTATATTGGACACAAGCCACAGCCATAAGATAAAACCCTTTGAACTGATTATTTGAGTTTAAAAGTAGTGAGTGAAGAAAAAAGGTTCACCATCGTACTAAATTTGGTTATATGTAGGTTTTCTGAGGGATGATTCATTTCGATTCGCGGTATCTGAAATGCTGCCCCGAATAATGATGATTATTATCTTCGTCCGGCGTTGTGGTGCATTTTGCTGTTTTGCTAAAATGGAAACTTCGGCAGTTTAAAATATATTGTAGCCCGCTCGCACACTCGCGTGATTATTAAGACTATTTCGTTGCCATTATTTCAGTTTTCATTTCCTCGATGCCTCCCAAAAGTAATAGTAATAATGATAATAGAGTGTATGTTCCTGGGCATAAATGCATGCTTTGGACCCCTGTCATAACGTATTTATGTCCGCGAACATAAATATGCTCTATTGTTTTGATTTGATTTGATTTGGTGGCGTATTTTCATAAGCATATGACGTACCTATTTAATGTTATTAGAAAGAAGAATCTCTTCTTTCTCGGGCGGTATGTATGATTCCATAAAGACAAATTTAGTTATAGAAAAGCCCAAACAATTCTTTTAACACGCTATTGGCATTTACAAAGTCGGTCTGCATTTGCTTTCTTCAAAATCAACGATTTACAAAAGTTGAAAACTCGTTCATTTGTTTAAGAGCGGTGCCTGTGTAGTTGAGCAAAACGCTGTCTGAACGGCAACTTCTCATAACTGGTCGGGAGAAATTTCTTGCGGACTAAATTTTGCGTAGAAAATCTGTTTTCGAAGATATTTAGCCTTCTGTAATGGTATCATTTTGTAGGCTTAAGTAACCGGGTAAGTACACGCAAATTTTGAACTCCTGTACACAAGCACATTGTAGCCAATTATAGTAAATTAAATTGTCGTTCCAGTCCTTTCTTTTGATCAGCGAAAAATATCACCGGTCGCTATTAAAAACTGTTCCCCTTGGTTTATTTCGCATATTGCTCGCGTGGTGCATGGCAGCGTTTCAAAACGTTTCTCGCACGATCTTAAATTGGCTAGTAAATAACTTGGATGATGATAATCGAAGGCCAAAATATGTACACAAATCTCTATCAAAAAAGAGTCAGTTGGCTCCGAACATTATGTACAGATTCATTTTTAAAATACATTTTTAAAAGTGCTCATAAAGATGACTTTCTAATTCACTTACAAAATTGGTGCTCCTCAACTCGTTTTAAAATTCTTTTGATATAATTTCTTGGAATATTCAGGAATAACCATGATCCATCAAATAAATGGTGTGTTGAAATAACGAGAGCATTTCGAGCCACCTTGAAAAAGAAGCCAGCAAGGCTGATGGTCGTATTTTAAGATGTCATCATTTTTCTTAGTACTCTATTTTTCACTTTTTTTTATTATAAATATACCGATCATGGTTCCTTAACGAATGGTACAATCTTATTAGCAGCGATACTCGCAATCTATTCCATGACCAAAAGTGAGCAAGAGATTTTACGGCCTCTGGAAGTGAGCAGAGTGAGTGGACTGCCATTTACTGCTTTTTAAAATTTTTTTTTTCATTATTTCTCTTCACCTTCATTCATATTATAACAGGTTTTTTAGGAATTACAAGTATTACGTATTTATTGATTTTGTTATCACTCGCATGGATACAAACCGAAATGGACTCCACTCAGTCCCATAAACATTACTTATTATCATAAAGGTAATCATGAAGAAATAAACAAGAATACATTTTAAAAATAGCACAAAATTTTAAATCAACAATCACGCGACAGAAATCTCGAAACCAAATGCTATTGTAAGTTATATTTATTGTAATATCAAGATATTTGCCTTCTTTGAACATTTCAGATGAAGTTACATTACTGTTCGTGGGAGATATTTCCTTTGCTGACCCCATCAAATACTATGTTGACCACAAGTACCATACGTACAATGATACTTTCAATGACGTGGCTCCTTTCATCAGAGAAGCGGACATTTCAGTTGGTAATTTAGAGTCGCCATTTGCCAACCAACATGTTCTTACTCACCTTTACCGAGGAGGAAAAACAGTTTTGCTATATGCCTTTCCTAAAGCTGCATCAGCGCTCAGGTGAAAATAATAGCGGAAACTGACAAAGTTGGAATTTACTTAAGGAAGTAATCGTTTTTAAATGAGGCCTCCATTGGTAGTCTACCAGTTCTAAGAAGAAAATTCCGTTAAACTGCATGAAAATTTCTTGTGTTGCGAAGATTCTTAGAAAAAGTTGTGAAACAAGAACATATGAGAAAAAGAAAACCAGAAAGCCGTAACACGGCTGCCACTACTATCATAAAAAGTAAATACCTCTTTTCTGTCCTAGAAGGGCACATCATCCAATATGGCGGTGCGCATAAAACTTCAGTTTTAATACAACCCATACCTTTTTTATGTCGACAGATTTCATCTTTAAAGATCGTTTTTGATAATTTAAGGAAGATTTCCTCTACTAGTGGAGGTTTCCTTTAGAAGGTGCAGAATTTTGTTATTCCGTTGTATTATGAAAGTGTGGGGTAATGCATTTGAGCTCCTTTTTTCGTTCGAGCTGCATTAAAACAACATTCAGCTCATTTGTGTTATAAGTAAACTGTTTGACGATGTAAAGAGTTTCTAATGCTGACGTTTCGAGCGTAAGCTCTTAGTTATTCCCTCTGACAAGGACTAAAGCTCGAAACGTCAGCTTTACGAACTTTTTACGGTGGCCAATTAACATTATCAACTCAACCGATCAAACCGAATCATCCTGTTATACCCTGCCACAGGCTAAGCAGCGCAGTTTCTTTAGAAACTCACCCCCTTATCCCAACCTGAATCTTAAAAAAATATAATGAAAAATTTCATTAATGCGATAAAAGAATTTCATAACAAGAAAGAATATGAAAGTAAATTGCTAAATATTTTTTTAGCACCGTTTTCAGCCATCTCAGAACTGAGGAGCTGGTCTAAATTATTCGTTTGCAATGAAAATTTTTCAAGCATAGTGGCAGGGTATATATTGCACATACCCGATAGTTATACTCTTGTATCCTCCGCGCAGGTTTGCAGGATTTGATGTCGTGACCATTGCCAACAATCACTTGAACGATTTAGGCAGTGTGGGAGCCAATTTTACCACTGAAGTCCTGGAAAAGACGGGTATAAAGTATTTTGGAATAAGTTTCGGAAAATATGACTCCTCTCAGGTACAGTAACGAATTGTTTTAAACCCCATTTTCCTGGAAACGAGATGAAAGAATATTTAGCGAAAGCATGGAGATTTATTCTCAAACCAATATAACTATTTTATTTGAAAATAAATGTGTTTGACATTTTAGACATCTTAGTTAAGCTTTCAACGTTGTATTAATTTCGTGTGAACTGGATATTTTTAATAACCGAATGGATTTGTGAAAAGCGAGGTAGCTACAAATCTTTTCAATGAGACGTATACTATGAAACCATTACAGTTGATAATTATTCACCTGACAGGGTTGAGGAAGGTGTCATAACTATCGGTCGGCTTAACGGGCGATTCACAATTTATCAATTTAGGCAAGTGTACTGTAGCTTATTTGCGACAATTGGGTACTCTTAGGGCCAGTCTACATTGAGGCTAGGGATCCCTGAGGTTGGTAAGGTAAACTGCTTAGCCGTGCTTAAAAAATAGACCATGTTTACCATGTTTACGTACAATCTTACAACCCCGGGATCCCAAGGTAAAGTTCCGAGAGGTTGTTAGTGCGCTTGCAAATGTAACGTGAACGCAACCTTGGCTAGGCGGGTTACCCCATCTTGAGACGTTTATTGGAAAAATTGTGAATGCCTATGACAGAGTTACCTCCCACGGCACACTGGGTAACCCGGCTAAGCAGGTTTCTCCAGTTATCATGTAAACATGATCGAGATAAAACAAGAGGTTATATATATATGAACAGGCGGGTTATCTGACCTACCTGGGGTCCTCCACCTCAATATAAACAAGCCCATATTAAATTCCATACAGCAGTATCTCCCGCTGTTAACATTACATTTACTCCTGTTAGATCTTAACAGATACATGTTAAACCAGTTTTAAGCTGATATCAATATTTTTGATGTCATGTTTTAGGAACCTCTCATTATTAAAAGAGACAGAATCACTATTGCATTCCTCGGTTATTGTGCAACGCCCTCCTTATTAAAGAAAAACTGCAGCGAACTGAGGAAGTTGTTCAACTCGGGTCCCGCCATTTATGAAGATGATATCGCCACTAGAGACGTCAGGAGGCTAAAGAAGGTTTAACTCAAGTTTAATATCTTTATGATTATCAGGGCAGTTTTTAATTGAGTGTCGAAACTGATCCAGGATTACTCTGATTTTGCTTTACTTCGCTTTGTGATTGGTCCAGAAAATTAGCGCTTCCTTTTAACGAATCATGACTTGATTACCAGCGTTTACCTGCGTTTCATGCAGGTTACCTGTTTATACTTTGTGTTCTCATTGAGTAATGATGATTTTGACCATCGCTCTTATTGACTTTTGTGATACCTTTGGTTTTAGTTATCCGAAACTCAACTGAAAATTACACGAACTGAAAGGAAAAAATAATTTATCCATCTTTCCGTACGTAAAAGGGAAAAGGTTTAGAATTGTGAATGACATAATTTTCTTCTTAAGCCAGCTTAACATTGCATTTAGGTAAAGAATGAATTGTTATTCAAACTGAGAAAAAATCCAAACAAGAGGAAAATTCCATCTTCTGCGTGCTAGAACCTGCGCCCGTAGTTACTAGTTGGACGTTGTTACCAACCTGGCCGAACTAAGGTAGCCACGTATTGGATCTTTGGTGGGCTTGCAAATTTAACCTGTGCGGCTAAAAACATAGTAATAATGATAATATCAACATTCCACGAGGTAGCTTTTTTGTCCACTGTTTCCATGTCGAATTGGAATTCAGAATGTTGATATTGTAGAGTAGGAAAGACCGGAGGACCTGGAGAAAAACCCTCGGATCAGGGTGAGAACCAACGATAATCTCAAGTCAGATGTGACTTCCTTATTAATACGGCGTCATCCCTGCTCCCCGAAACAATTTATTTATCATCTACTTCGAGTTTTAACTTGATTTCTATGCATTTCATATCATCCCCTTTTATTTGAATACATTAAGGATCTATCCTTCTAGTCATTCCATGACATGCCTATTGACTAGTTATACTTTGTTTTACTTCCCTAGGCCAAAGTTGACATTATAGTCGCTTTCATGCACTATGGTAGAGAACTCACTTTAGGACCCGTCTCCTCCCAAAAGCACATAAACAAACACCTGATTTCTCTTGGGGTGGATATGATCATTGGATCTCATCCGCACGTTCTTCAGGATCACTGTCTTCAAGATAATAAACTTATCGCTTACAGCTTGGGGAATTTTCTTTTTCATACTAACCAACCACCAAGTGCTGTTGATCCGGTAACGCATTCATACGGTTCATTTAGTGACTACATGTACCTCTTGACTGAATGACGTAAACACCTCGCCGTACTCGATCCTTACGACCTCTCCCCAAATATTTCAGTCTTTCTCGAGTATGGGAAAAGAAAAAAAATATGAAAGTCTCGTGTAATGATTCGAAAGTCGGACGTTCCTATTTAAGACCGAACATCCAAATGAAAGGAAAGGAACTATTCGGCAAGCCAGGCCACACTAAGTTCATTTTTGGGAAACTAGCTTCGAGAATACTGCTCAGATCGGCAATATAGAAAGCGGCTTTTTTCTTGTAAAGATGTAGTAATCAAAGTGAAAGGCTTTAAACTCGCTTCTTGGATAAAGATTGAAGAGATACGTTTTACCTCTACTTATTGCTATATTCCAAAGAAAATTACTCTTTCAACATCATACATAATTTATCATTTCCTCGCGTTCATTTCCCTTTTTTCCATACTTCTCCCTTTCTGTTTTCTTTTCTTTTTTTGTTTTTGCGTACTTGTGTGTTTATCGTTTATTTTCCTCGCTCCTACTTGGTTTATGTTTGCAAGCTTGACGAAATCCTCTAACAGTACTTCCAAGTTTCTATATCCATGTTCAATTTATTTTTCAGAACGTTTACGGAAGATTTGGCAAGAAACCCGATAAACAATTTATTAAGAAATATGAACAGTTTGCCCTTGGGAACTGCGACGCGTTGAAACTATCCCGGATGCTTAAAGTCACCGTTTCAAGGTATAGTACCACTTTGCATCTTATTTTTCCAGGGCTTCTTTAAACCACAATCAAATTTTTCATCTTCAAGCATTAATTTAAACAAAAAGAAAGCGGTAGTTTGAAATCTGAAAGGTGCATTAATGTTAGGTGCTATGAAACCGTTGTCCATGGAGAGAAATCTGAAGATAAGTGTAAGGATTAAAGAGTGATACAGGAAGAGTGAGATAGTTATGAAAAAGGATGTTTCATATTACCAGTCTATGTCTGTAAGCTGTTGTCAGATATAGGCAGTGAAAAGAATCATCAATCGTTGATCGGACACTATTTGAGTATATTGGGTCCGAAGGAGACAAATAACGTTTTGGTTAATAGGGTCGTTTCAGTTAAAAAAGTGCCAACACTTTTAAGTAATATAACAGGGCTTTTTTTTAATAGAGTGTCAAATTCGTAAATACATGCACAGAAGAAACTAGTTTTTTTGTGATACAGAAAAATATAAAGGTAATAAAGATATCATACAAAGAAACAAAATTGTCTGAAAACGAGAGAATATGAATAATTGATATTCTTTAGTTGAAAACTGGCAAATGGATCTGGAACAATAGCTGAGATGTAATATCACAAGACAGCAGTACTCTAGATGTCTATGTACATCTCACTGAAACAGTGTGTCTTTAAAATCAGCGATATTTTTAAATGAGACTTTCTCGCGATTTTGATCGGAATAATCAGTTACAAGCAATCATTTTCAATTAGGAGAAAATAGTTTGTATATTTTCAATTTCTTTCATTTTCATTCAATCATCTCTCTTTTTAGGAAAGGAGTCGTGGGAGCAAAGTATCTTCCACTGAAAGTCGCTTTCGATAAAAAAAATAAACGACTGCACCCTGAGCCCACAAAGAACGCAAAATGGATCGCTGTATGCGGAGCTGAAGATCAACATTGTAAATGTTTCAAGAATTAGGATCAAATTTCTCTGAAAGAAGTCAATCTAAAAACACTTTAACTTCGATATAGTATTTAACAATGTTATAGCTTATTTCGTCTTCAAAAATACATTTTACTTGACGCGAAAAGCTGATGAAGTGTCAGCAGTTTATTAGCGATATCAAACACGCATAAAATGTGATAACGGTTTTTTCTAAGTCCTTGTAAAACACCTTGTACAACGCCACATTTTACACAATAAAGTATAGTTAAATTGTCTATGTTCTTTGTCATCAACCTTGACAATGCAACCTCTCTCCTTTCATAGGGAAGAAATATAACCCTATGAGTAATTAACTAATTATATATAGGGCGCTTGCTAGCTACTTTTCTGGTCGCAATGATCTCGTTGCGACATTGACATTTATCGTCCTCAGCTCCACAGACTTCAATCCATTGAGCATTCTTTTCTGGCTCAGGGTGAAGTCTTTTGGTTTTGTGATTAAATTTGATTCTAAGAGGCAAATACTTTGCATTAACCACACCTTTCCTACGACATGAAAATAAAGGACATTATTTCAAAATTAGTGAAAAAAAAAATGAATTGAGCCACATTTTCCAGTAAGAAGTCTATTTCTAAGGAAAACAATTCTTTCATTGGAGCCCTGTTTGAAAACAATTAATTAAATGATGAATAATAAACAGCTGTGACTTGTACCTTGAAACGTTGACTTTGAGCATCCGGGAAATTCTTAGGTCGTTGCTATTTCCAAAGGCGTAATGCTCGTAGGACTCAATTTCAACTTCACTCGGTTCTTTGCCAAAACCTCCATACACAATCTTCGAGAAAAAAAGGGAGCAATGCATCAATTGACGGGCAGGAAGGGAAAAATGTTTTGCTTGCTAAGAAAGTAATGAACAAACCAATTAGAAATCAGGGATCCGACCTTCCGACCCTCCCCAGGGAGGGGAGGGTCGGAGGATTTTGTCGTGTCGCCATATCACAATAAAATTTACCAGAGTCCCCTGAGATTCTGTAATATCCTTATGGTAACCCCTTCCCCACCTCTAGTCGTTAGCAAGTAATTGCTAGTCAATGTTATATAGTACGCCCTTTTGTACTCTGTTAGCGACGGCTGATAGCCCCTCCCTTCCCCTCTAAAATCCATGTGATCCTAAACCTCCCCCTTAGGTGATAAATAGTAGCTGGTCCACAAATAATTTATGAAATAAGATGCAGGATGGCTATAGGTGGGAATAGAATAATAAAAATATACATGAATTAAAACACAAGAAGAAAAATGAAAGAAAGGGAGGAAAAGAATTAGTAAACAGGTTGAACGGATAAATACGTAACTGGATTACTTCCCCGTCTATAAGGACACGGATGAAATAGGAAATTCCCCAAGCTGTCTTCAATAAGCTTGTTATGCTTGACACAATGTCCCTGTACCACGTGCGGATGGGCTCCAATGATTATATCAACGCCGAGAGACAGCAAGTGTTTGTTGATATCAATCTGGTAGGGGAGTGGTCTTAAGCTCCTTTCCATTCCATAATGCATGAATACAACTATGATGTCAACTTTAGCCTTTGAAA